TGACAGGGGAAAACATCTGTAGGTTAAGTTCAGTTATAATAAATCAAACAAACTCTTTATTTTTCAATTTTAACTTAAAAAACACACACACACTTTTCCATGTCTTGTTTTACCACAAAAGGAATTGAGATGGATATGAATTTGTTATAAACTGGTTTACATGAATGATTTACTGGTTTTGATGAAAAATTAATTTGAGGAAAACCGTAATATTGTGGGAACTTCAATGTCGGTTATATGTTAGGGAGAAGGCTATATAGCATCATTCACCCCTTACTGAGGCAGGTAGTTAATTACATTTACATCAAGTGTTACTTGTCAGGTTAACCAGTTTTATGGTGTTCATGGATATTTTTTGTTTAATAAAGTAATTAACTCTTTTGATGTTTGCTCATAAAAATGAAAAGGACATCATTGTCACTTTTAATGTGATATGCCTGGAGATCAAAATGTTCCGAAGTAAATACACCCTCTATAGTTATCATGTTGGGTTTCCGCTCCTTCCATGTATACTTACTGTATGAAATTAAAGATCTACATTAAAAATCAGTCAACACCCTGGTAAACTGGGGTATCACTGGGTGGGAATGTTGCAGAGCAGTTTAGATATCATACTTAAACTGTGAGATCTGTGAAAGTATTTCTTCCCTTTTTTTATGTCTGAATATAATAAAATTATCATAAATGATGATTAATTCAGCAGTGTTCTACTCACTACTCACTGCTTAATTGTTTCATTCAAAAACAAATAAAAAGTCAATGAATTGTTGTTTTGTTTTTATTATAGTTATATGGAAATCAACAAATATATAACAGAATATATACTGTACACCTTTTCTTATAAAATTTAACAAAACTATGATGAATGAATTTTTTCTCTAATGAATTGGACATTTGCCCTGATCATTTCCCAAAATACATGTACCATCAATATTTGTGCTTGACCTTGCCTTACACATGGTCAAACAGAATTTAAACATCAAGTATTGCCATTTTATACTGCGCCATACAGAATTGTGACACTGCACTGTCCTGGGAATTTGTACAGAGATACAGAGTCTGAGGTAGATAAAAATAATAATATCAAATGGATTTATTTGTAAGATTTGTAATTGTTTCAATTTGACAACAGAAAACTCTAAAATAATATGTAAACCCTAAATGGATTTTTGTGGATTTCTAGTAATGTTGGCCATCATATACATGTTTTTGTTCTGATCATACCAAACTAATTGGTTAGGATACCATACTTGTCAACTCTCCCTATTTAGGAGGGAAACTCCCGATTTGGACTCAATTATATTTAATATTTTAACCAGTGAATTTGCTAAACTATTACTATATTCAAAGATCTAATTGTTTCATCTGAAAGAGCAACTTAAAATATGTATATAGTACACAGGTTATTTATGTTTAAATTTTGAGAATGCAGAATCTTCCCTAAGGAAATTTTAAAAAGTTGGCAACTATAAGATACCACACTACTTTAAGGAATAAAACCTATACCCCTGAGGGTTACTGGTAATAAATGGGTCCCATCGTAAAGATGTTATAAAGTGTTGTAGCTTATATGCTTTGTGAACTTAATTACTTATTTGAGAAATTGTGAAAATTGCATGAATTTTTGAAGGCTGATTTGTTCTAGCCAGCCTTCAATTCCCCAAGGGGGATATTACCCTCATACGTGTACAGTTAACATTCTGTTTTAAATACACATGTGTAATAATCATAAATCATGTCAGCATATTGCATCAATTTTAAATATTCTATCATTTTTACAAATATATAACATATAATATAACTGTGCAGATTTATAAAATAAACTCATAAGTACATGTATGTACAATTTGCTTTAAAATCTATGTACATCGTACTACGATAATTATCTATGTACAATATTGCACTCATTCATACACAAAACACAAGAGTAACACTGTCATAGTAAAATGGCCATTAACAACTGATAAAAGATCATTTTTACATTGAAAAAATAATGGAAAAGGTAGATGAGTGTGGTAATGGTAAATATATGGTAGAACAGCTTTGGTTTTATGTCTCTAGAAAAAGTTTATACCCAACTAAATTTTGTATGTCTAAATTAGTCGATTAAAATACCCCTGTGAACAATCATGATACAGTGGTAAAGTGTACATTTACAACCAAATATTATATAAAACTTTCTTTTGAATTTAGAAAATATTTAGTACAAACCTAACATGTTATTTAAATTGTACTGTCTACGAACAATAAAACCTNCTTCGCAAACATGATGTGTTGGCAAAAGACAAGCACAGTGTAATTATTAGCACTTTAATTACCTTGTAATTTGTGGACAGTTTTCTCCATTTTTTATACCCCTCAGAAATTGGTTTGTACAAGATCAATAGGGACTCGGGTTTGACCTAAGAACCTAACAAAGAGGAAAATAATGCCAAATTTCTCAACAACTGAACATTGAAATGACAGAAGGTGGCATATTGACAAGAGAATTTTACAGCATTCTACACCCAAAGGCAAATCTCGGGACGTGAACAAAGCCGATACAGAGAAACAACATTCCACGTAACTCAATGAAAGGGAAATCCCAGATGCTTCAGTCAAGGAAAAAAGGTGGATATTTATTCTTAATTCAAAATAAAAATTGAACCTTTGAATTTTTGTGAATAATGATTTTAAATAGTTCAGTACCGACACAATAAGTTTGTATGTGATGAAGACATTATCAGATCCTGCCGTACATACTTGTATAAACAGAGTACCTGGTGCATATACATTAGGTCGACAAAGGTCCAGGCCAGGATTCATGTGATCTGTAATCTTTGTAACAGAGTGTTATTGATCTTACTGTAGGATACAAGATTCAGTACACTTCATCATGCAACGGATAAGTCAGGTGGGATACACAATCTGTAACCCTCAGTATATCCAATCATCGAATAGTTCACAGTCATATACAGTATATATACCTAGCTTATATTTACCAAACAGGTAATCCTTCTTCCTATGATTTTCACAATTTATGAAACTTACTCAGGAAATTTGGGTGAAATGCTTAAACTGAAATTTGTAAATGTTAATTGAAAATCAATAATAGGTTGTATGTAAATTTCAAATGTTTTCAATGTGAATTTTATGACAAGTGAAAGCTGCCTGCTAAATCATTTAACCTTAACTCATTCACCCCTGAACACACATGTGAACTCTGCTAATTCAAAGGTTTGAATATAGTTTATAATGAAATTTCAGGGGTGAATGAGTTAACACATTTAACATTGAGGCCCATATTCATAAAACCATTTTCAAGCTCAAACTCAGATTCTGTGCTCAAGCAATTTCTTGTTCCATCTATAAATTAATTTAAGTTCACAATTCTGTCAATGATTTGGGAGAATTTAAGATAGACTGAAAGACACATATCTTTTTCGAAGTAAACACTTTACGTTTTGGTCAAATGATTTATAAAAGCCAGTTACAAGAAATTTCATTTGAGCACAGAATCCATGCTTGAGCATGAGAATAGTTTCATGAATACAGGCCTACACTAAATTCTACTAAATATGCGGCAAGATTTACAACATGTTTACATTAGTTCAGCTTTGTTCCATCAGGACTTGATAGTCCTTCACACTGCATTGGTTAGTCAACATAATTATCACCTATGAAACAATTTGTCAAATCTTTCAACAGGAACACATATTTACAAAGTAATCTTGCTGCATGCGTGATATAAATGGTTGATGTTAATTTTTAACAGGTATGGATATTATTCCTTATATAAATTGTGGTGTTCATTTGTTATATTTTGCATGTTATGATATATCCCGTCCTTGTATACAAAGGAAGTCAAATACATACTTTTGAATGTATTTATGCATCGTAACAAATACTACCATGTGAAATTTACCACGAAACAATTATACGAAATCTATAGGAAACTTTACATTCAAATATTTGTTGACTTTTGTTACACATGATATATATCATGACTGAGATATGTACCTGGTCTTGGTGTCAATCGGTTGGGATAGTGTTTTGTGTATTCATGACTTCCAAAACAGGGAAATATTTCTGCCACCTGATATCGTGCATACATTGTACATGTGTGTTTGAGTATTCTTGATCGGTGACAATCTACCGAAAAATTGCGGGATCTATCGTCTTGGCAACCACAACCTTAGATAATGAGGTAAAACTAATGATATGGATTTCTGGACATATATGTAAGTGGAATTCATACATAACAGGTCAGCTCAGAAAAAACTGGCATACATATACAGCATCATGAATCATTGTTAATCCAGCTACAAATATTTACTGTAACGTCTGCACCGTGTTAATTAAAATTTCTCTTAAAATATTCAACACTAATTTTCAGCCATTACAAGTAAAATATATCTTTGTTTTAATAAATAATAACTATTTCTCCATGTTAAAGCAGTTTGTTAATTTTAATCTGATCCCTGACCTTGTGGTCATAGTCTTCTGTAGTATAATCTCAGTTGGGCCAAATGTAATTTATTTCATGATTTCAAAAATTGGTAACTTCAAATAATCTCTGCGAATACAAAAAGAAAAATCACTAACATTTCTATACATATATTATGTATTAGATGTTAGCGAGACAAATTTCTAAGGAAGACAGGGAACGTTTGTTTAACCCAAAATCAACCAAATAGCTCAATAAATAGTTGAATCCATGGGGCATTGTTATCGGTAAATAAATATAATACATTTTGGTAATAAATACCAGATTTTTTGTGGCTGCATCAACAAGGTAACTCTATACAATTTATCATATATAAATAACTTTACCTTCAAATTATTTATTTATGCACAGTGAACTCCAGATAATATCACATTCTGCTTAATGTAAATTTTTTCTTTATGTCACACTTTCCTTTCACATATAAATAATAGGTAACATTAACTCATTCACCCCTGAAGCCACATTTCAACTCTTCCAATTCAAAGGTTGGAATAGTTCATTATGAAATTTCAGGGATGAATGAGTTGAGAGGGAAGTGCTATACAATAACAAAATGTCATACTGGTCCCCTAGCTGTGATCTTAAATGTTGAAAACTTTGTCAATTGATGAAAAATTGTCTTCAAATCAAAAATCAATTAACAAAGTGACCAGTAACCAAGTTATATATATATATTTCTATATTATGAGTTCATAGCTGGACTCGCTAATACCATCCTCTTCTTCATCGAAAGTTGTTTCAAAGTTACTAGAGCTTAAGTACTCCTGTGGAAATGCACTGTCACCTGACTCACTACAGTTGTACCATGCCTGGCCCCGGGGCGAGTCCACGTACACTGGGTCCGTCATTCTCCGAGGGTCCCGTATGATGGACTTGATGTCTTTTCGATAGGAATATACACACACAGGGTCACTGACAGCAAGCTTTTTATCCCTATCATCCTCCTTTTCCTCCTGAATAACATCCTCTTTAGACATTTCACTTGATGCCCGAGAATATTTACGAAGGAGTTTGTAAGATTTCATGTTTCTACACATAGTACATTCTGTAGAGTCTGATGCTAAGGATGTCCGATCTCTACACTTGGACCGGCTACTCTTCATTTTGGCAAGAACTGTTATGGGAAGTTGATAAACCGACTCTGTGTGGTCGGTACTGTAGCCGTCCGAGTACCAGTCTTCCAGATTCTGGTGAGGAATTGGTCGGAAACCTGGCAACATTTTGTTCGAACATGGATCAAATCCTAAATTGTCTTGTGGTAAGTTATCCCAACTGTCTGTGAGTAAGCGAGTCTGACTGTTGGCAGGACTACCAATAAACCGCGGAAGGGGTGTGGAAGTGACACTTCCATCTGACGAGTCACCACTGGCACTCGACCCTGTAGGTACAGTTGGCGCTATATAAGACAACATGCTTTCAGAGTCATAATGGTCTTTGGGTGCTGCCAAGGACTGTGCATCAGTTCTGATAAACCGGCGGTGACTGTATGTGCCGTTAGATTGAAAACTCAAAGTCTTCCTTGTAAATGGACTGACGTCATCCTCCTTGTTCTCCTCCTGTTCTTCCTTCCCAGAACAAGACACAGCTGACGAGGATTTTGACTCATTTTCTGAATCGATAAATGAGTCTTGGAGGAGATTTTTGTAATAGTCCCCATTAATCAGAGCCTCCTGGTATTGGGAGATCCAGCCGGCACTGAATGGTCGCTGTAACATCTTGCTGTGTTTGACACAAAGACTGAGCTTACAATTGATACATCCGTCCTGTACACACAAATTGGAATGGTTCTTTTTTGACATATCTGATCCCGGAATGTGGAAGATCTTGTAGTAAACCAACATGGACACGACAGATATGAAAAAAGCAGAACAGATAATAAACAGCAGAGTGTAGACTTTGAACATATCCCCCAATCCCTGCACGCTCAGGTACCACACGGCCGTCAGAACTCCGTTCTCAAAGAACATGATGACGTAATAGGTTACGTAACGGAACTGAGCACTGTCACTGCTGAAGTTTACATGGCAAAACAGATATATATAGGATATCAACATGCACAGGAAAAATCTGTAACAACGGTTGACTTTGTTAACCTCGAGCACGCCGAGAAAGGACGTACAGATACAGACCAGCATGGTGAGCCAGTGTAATGCCGTCACCACGAACACCCAGTAATGGTAGACCGACGCAAACACGGCCAGGGACAGCACACGCGAAACAAGCTCTCCTGATCTCCACAGCAACCGGAATATGGTTCCTGGACAAGAAAGGGCTAAGTTTTCAATATCATCAGTTTCACTGCGTCGTCTGAAGCAACTTAGAGCCCAACATGTCGAAAACAGTGTAACTACTGCAGCACTTATTATGATCTTGTCCTCAGCTCCTTTGAAGATAATAAAATAGGCCTGGATTCCAAGGATTGGTAAACTTGCCGAAAACGCATAAAACAACCTTAACAGCAGAAGATCTGCTAGGTCCCTCTTTTTCCACAAGGCTTCTGATTCCCTGAGTATCCTTATGTGTCTCCAGACAAAGCCCAGTTGGAGGATGTGTATGACGGCAGTGGACAATGCCTGCCAGCAGGTGAGGTGTTCGCCGCGCTTCTGGAGGAGAAGCAGTGCCGACACAAGCTGTACCAGCACCATCGGCAACATCATTAGTCCCAGCACCACCGTGAACCATGTCTCCAGGGACGGGAACAGATACACCACGAAAAATATGTTGAGTACCACTTCGCCAATGTGGAGTAATAATGATATTATAATGTAAATACTGAAACACACTGGTAAACATAGACACCCCATGGTTTGTGTCGTTTCTACTTTTCCAACTGTATGACGATGTATCACATCCAGTCCATTATCATAGCAATTATCACTGCCGCTAACACGTCCACTTTAATGTCAGAACTAAAGGTATCAACTGAAATCTGTCAACTAGATATCAAATAGTCACTAAGTATCTTGTTACTTGTATAGGATAGCACATCAAAGGTGACCAATACAGTCATCAAATACACGTCTCCCTTAGAACAGTTTCTAACTTCACAGGAAAGTCCTATCTCAACAGCTTACAACCACGCAAGGTAAGTATAATCAGTCTAATGTGTCCATGCTTACGCTCATTACGGGTAGCCATGATATCCGGCCGTTCGTCTGGAATGTAGCCCTTTTTGTCCCAACCCTTGGTAACACTACCAGCCCTACAGCCGAAACGGAGGGAAAGCACAATGCACTGTGGTATGTCCCCCTGCAAGTCTAGCTTTCCTCATACAACCCTGCTGGGTCAGGTTTCCCTTTAGGGGCTATCCTGTGATAGGGTACCACAAGGCATTCACAATAGAATTCCAGGGTGAGCAAGTTTACATGGTGTAGATGATTTACATTGTATAAATAATATATGGTAGAGTTTTCATCACAAATTGTGTGCAGTCATGCTTGTTCCGAATAGCATTATACTCTGTCGATAAATCTTTCATGTCCCCTTCTATAGTCACACGGCCGACAGTAAACCTATTCCAATGGAAACCGCTCAGCTACAACAAGAGTTTAGAAGATGAAACTTTGCGATGTAAATCTTTGAAAAAAGCCTTGTAGAAAGACGATATATGGTTCTGAATTGACAGTCCAATCTGTTGGTAAGACGATACGAAGGTTAGAACTTCGGTATTGTTCCACAATAGTCGGCCATCTGATTGGAGAGTCTTTATCAGGGTGGAAGATTGTAAAACTTTCTTCTAAAGTCCAAAACTGAAAAGAGTGAAAAACAAAAGCATTAGACCATGATACCAGTACAGATTACTTCAGGGTTTTTCTTTAAATGCAAAAAAAATGTTTTCAGAAATGTAGGGTATTGATTTTGTTTTAGTTTTGACTGAACGGTAATCAATACGGCCCGACTACATCTGGGGTGTAGGCGAGTATAATAGTACACGACATCCCTACAAAAGACTCTCAATGATTACAGCAACTTTACAATGGGACAAAATAAAGACATTTTAGAACCTTAAGAAGGAAGCAGGTTAGGACTGTATAATTATAGTGAGTATCGTGACAGTGTTCAATCGTAACTTGTTCCACACACTCTCTATAATCCCCAGTACTCGGTCAAAAACATCAACACATCCTTCCTCAATGGTCTAATTATTGATGTTAAAAGGTTACTAGCTGTTGACATCCAATTCATCAATAAACAAAATCCGGTATATAATATCAAACAAAATATTCGCGTGGATGTAATAATCTGCTCGTGACTACAGCGCACTTTGAAAATTATATCGTGCATAGAAAATATCCCACAGAATTAAGTTAGCATGAAAGCTCTTACAGAAGGACAATCTATTTTTATTTTTCTAATTCTAACGTTGGTATGCAATTCTTTTAAAGTTTACATAATATGAACAAATAGACAAATGTATTCATACGTTACATTATCAATACAAGTAGCATTTAAGTAGATCAATTTTCATGATGAAAGGAAAAGGTAGGATCTTTTAAAATCTGCATTGCAATCTAAATTTTCCTTTGAGCTGTCTTGAAGCGAGTGTGAGAGAAATCAATATTTTACATTATACGGTATTAGATATAACCAAGAAAACACAGTATCACGTGTAAATAAATACGTTGCTATAGGTGTTTTCAAACCAATTTTGCCATTTGGCCTTTCTTTTTTAAAATGGATTTATGTAACATACTCCCTTAATTCTTTTACGATATATTTTCGGGCAGCATATGCATTCTCAGTGTATTTTCACGACAACAATGCAAAGTGAGCTTATTCTTTTTCAATATCAAAATAATATCAAACTCAACAGGTTTAGATTATCAAAGCCTGCATTTGATTAGATTACTTAGATTACCTGAAAGTTGTCATTGTCATATTCTATACAAACGATTTTCAAATTGAACTTTTATGAGGAACAAATTCTTAACGATTTTGGGTTTATGAATTTTAGCTTCATTATATATAGTAAAAAAGATTGAAAGAAAGAAAGGAATTTGAATTACAGACACCTGATACAGACACAGTGATACTAAACACTAGAAAGTGGCATATTTCCAGTATTGGCAGGTGACAATGTGAACAAAAATACCCATTGTTTTCTCAACAAATTCCACCTGTCACCATTTTACCCAAATGCTCAAATAATGTCCATCTATGTTATATTCTATAAACAAAATTTGTCCAATTTCATTTAAGTTCAATAACAAAAGTTAATGTGTTTTGATAAAATTTCTAGCCAAACCTTACAGAAAATATATGAGTTTTAAAAGCATTCAGAATATATTGTTTTTTCTATCGTGAACAGAGGTATCTGTTCCGATAAAATTGTTAAGGCTGTTTTACTGGAGAAATGTTATTTAAATGTCACAGGATACTAGCACCGCCCTCTTTATCTGGGTAATCTTATCCTAGTAATTATCTTTACATGGTACAAAATAAGTCTGGGTTAACAACAAGGAGTAAGTTGTATGCCCCGCTCATTCATACATTTCTCTCTCAATAAATGATTAAACGTGTACTATTCCTTCATACAGAAATGACGGTCTTTCCAACCAAGCTCCAAATTTAATTGGAAAATAAAATTTGGATGCTGAACATTAACTTTATACCAAGACATTTGTAATTTTTAAAGTACAAACGAAATCTCAGCCCACTTTTGCCACGTGATAATGTGGCTATGTACGAAATAATGTGTGGGACATTATAATTGAAAGGTTTTCTACCACAGTAAAACACTTGACCATACATCAGCGATCTTGTCACCTTTCACTGTGTGTCCTCCACTTCACACATACTTACCACAGAGCAGTGATAACTATACCCCTCCACGGTTTTCAATTTTACACAAATAGCCTCGGAGGAATTGTCACGTTTGTAGGACTCATCACAATACATTGTATCTTAATACCACGAACAAATAGCACAGCTATAGGCATTGGTAACGTTTACAAATAAATTCCTTTTAAACTACAATAAATCTTACAGTTTTTTTCCCATCTATTCCTTTTCACAAGTTTTAAATCTTTAAAATCAACAGACCTGGTTGTACGTACACTGGGTTACCGCTACAGGACGACACTGCGAGGTTTTATGTATTTCTTGCTGCTCTGTTCACTTGTAAATAAATCTCCCCCTGACCTATTACTGTTAACAGGGATGAAACAAGTCACAAAATAATGTAAATTTTATTCGAAACGTGCAGATAATTTCAAAGTAAAAGCCATCTCCTTCATCTGGGGTAGTTAAATGTCAGCGTATTTCAGTAGAGTTACTGTCTGAACAATGAACAGCCAATAACACGGTTAGAAATGGAAATTGAAAAAAAAATGTAAGATTATCAGATATACATGTATGTATGAGCAACAACTGAAGCATCATCATTCTCAAGGTCGTTTGAGTGAACTTGTGGCCTCTCCGTTTTATTGCCAAGTTCTACAGGTTATTTCTGTACCATTGTTGGAGAGATATTTTACTGAATACAGATTTAGTATGACGATAAACAACATTTCACTTTAAAGCTATTAAGATAGAAAACTTCATTTCATCATGAATGCTGACATTGAGGACCGATACTGGTAATGTGAAAAATGTTTAAGAAGGAATACAGGTGATAATACAGCCATTTGTTCCGATTACAAAGCCAGCTCCTCCACACCTAAGTGACATGGAGATTTCTACACTCCGATACACACAACTCTGTTTCTGACACAGGGTCTATCTGATTGAATTGATATGAGAGACGGAAAGAGAGTTGAAATCTCCAATAAGGAGACAGAAGTGGATGGTTCTTATAGTCAAGCAAACTTCAACACACAAAATAATCCAGAACAACCCTCTAGATCTAATCCCAGAAAACCAGATTATCTGGAATTGTGTTTCACAGAATGTCAATACTTATATATATAGACACGGCCGAATATTTCTTCAAAGACATTAAATGGGACCAAGTTTGTAATAGTTTGAAACATATAAAAATCTGAAATGAGAGCATCCATTACTTCAAATTAGAGCAACTCAACTTATTGTAAGGTAAAATAATCTAAGGTGCTGAGCAGGCTCCTTTTAGTTACTTTTGAGACGCTTTCGGCCCTAAATACCCTTCAACTTCTTGTTTCACTGTGAATCAAAATGCATCCCTTTATCATAGTGCATTAGTCTATCTCACATAATGTATATAAATCTACTCTCCCCCGTCTCCCTCAACCTACTCACTTTCTGTATTCTTTTCTCTCCCCTATTGCTTTTCTTCTTTCCCATTTTTCTATAATTTTTAAAGGAGACAGATTTACATAGTAAGTTTCAAACTTTTTTCTGAATCCTTGTTGCATAAAACGTTATGCTATGAAATGTTATTGTGAAATAAAATAAAGTTTCAATCAACTTCTTGTATTACGGGTCGTTAAGCCTTAACAAATCAACCAGCGCTCAGTACTTTCGAAACATGAAAGACTTAATTCACCATCACCCAAAATTGCTTACATATTGCACACATCAAACTCTGGACAGGAGCGTCCAGAGTCTACACATTTAATTTGTATCAATTATTTCTTTTTATCTGCCTTTGTTAAACCATGTACAGGATAAAACTTGGACCACATGACTGACGTCATGATTTCTTCACATAGTGTGCACACAATTTGCTGACAACAGTTTTTGTGATAGAAAATTACAGATACGGGTAATTTATACAGAAATTTTAATCATGTAATATCTTAATAGACAGAAGTAATGAAACAAATTAGAAATCTGAAACTTTGATGACAAATTGTCAAACTTGGTCCAGTTTGTCTTGATACAGAGTATGAATGATCAGTGATTGTATACCAACAAACACACCCGAATGTCTGAAAATACTGGTCAATGTGTAAGATATCATTGAACTCTCCAACATTAGTGGCATTCCACAGACGTCCCTGTGTGGGGCCTACGTACCTGGGCCTAGATCTGCCATTAAGGATTTACAGAATCAATTACACCTTCCCTGGACCCGTATCATCGCAGCCCTGTGACAGGTGCCCCTTTAACCTCCCTCATAATGATTCAATAAAGATGCATGAAAGGATATACCCGAAAACCATGGCTTATGTTTATTATTAATCAGGAATCCACAACTTATTTTTGAGGCTAGCTGACTTTCGGGGTTGTCTATTTTTTTATGCATTTGATACAATATATCATCAACCTTGTAATGTCTAAAATGTTAATAGAAGTTTGATAGCAAATTGATTGTGATTTATCCATGCTACTCATATTCCGTCTTTTCATATTGCAGAGTTCTCTTCTCTTGTGAGCAGGTAATGATTGTTACGTCATTGGTTTGTGAGAGAAAAAGTTAATCAATTTTTGAGAAAACGACGTAATTTTTTCACTCAAACCAATGTTTGTGAGTATTTTTCCGTTCTTTCCATTATTTACTTTGACACTGGATTTAGACCCAGCTCTTCTGAACAATTTCTATCATTACATTTTGTGGTCATTTATTATTATAGAAGTTCAAAAATTCAATCTTTTGATTAAACAAGAGGCCCATGGGCCTTAACGGTCACATGATATATTTATACAGAGAGTTGATTTTGTTTTTAACATGAACAGAAATATTATTCAAAGTGACAAAAAACAATAAAACCACCTTATTCAATATCTAGCATACAGATTTAAGACTAAAAAGTATTTGAAACTAGCACCTCTGATTCTAAACAAGGAAAATGAAGAAATTTTAGCACACTGACTCCTTTGAGCCCCA